CTTCCGCATAGCTCTCAGCCGTGCAGAAGATTTTGTATTCGTGGATCTCGCTCGAGATCTTGGCGACGGCGTCCTGGAGTGCTTTAGTCTCGACCGGCGTCACTTGCTTTCTGTAATGGGTGCTCCACACCCTCTCGACCGGGAGGATCCACGGGTCATACTTGACCGAGAAGATCCTATTTTTCCACCCCCGGTAGTTCCCGGGCAGACTTTTGATTGAGCACATCTCCGACCGGGACTGAATCATCAAAATCCCGCCCCCGTACTTGGCCGGGAGAACCTTCACTTGATAGATGAAATTGAAAAGTTCCATCGTACAAGTCACTTGGTGCCGAGCGCAGATCTGAGGAAAACAGGCGAGGATCCTGTATGTGTTCGGGCAGATCTGGGCCGGGACGACCTGGTAGTAGCCCAAGAACGTCGTCAGGAGGGCTGGGAAGGGGAAAGCGATCGGGGCCATCAGGGAATCAAAATGCATCCCGATCCACTTTCCCCGATGGCGCTCGATGATATTCCCTAGCTGACGACTCGTGTCGAACTCCACCCGACCGTTAAGCCTTGCGGCGATCTTGGCTGCTTCCCCTTTTGTTAACTTGCTCATTTGCCGCTGTACGCTCTCGCTGTTTAAGAATGTGTATCCGTCGGCGGCCGGTGCGGCTGGCTCGACCAGGTCTTCCTCGACAGGCTCTGGTGTAGCATCTCGTTCGTCCCTCGGAGGTGCGGCGTGAGGGTAATCCCCAATGATCCTGGTAGGCGTTTCCCTGACGCCACCGGTCGGGGAGCCTTGCCCGCTTGTAGTAGCCTCCCCGCTTCCACGGCTCGAGCTGCCCGACCCGCTCGAGCTTGAGCTTGACGTTCCCTCCGAGCTAGACGACCTTCGTCGCTCGGGGGTCTTCGGTGGTCGTTGAGCGACCTCGGGCGAGTAGGACATGATGTCTACCTCTTCACTTATCTGTTCGGCTGCGTCGTCGTAATCCGCGACTGAGACGTTCTAACTATCTGTGTCCGACATTATGTCTTCCTAAAGGCCGGTCGGGATTGTGTTAAGGCCTATAGTTGGCTATGACGGAAAAATGCAAAATAGGAAATTAAAAGAGCTAAAAGGCAGAGAATTTACCGAGTGGTAGCACTTGGGGGAGAAGCCTGAAGATTGTTTGCTCGACCGACTTTCTGAAGTATTCGCTTGGGACGCTCTGGGTGCACCGATCGACTCAGGATGGTTGGTAAAAGTTCAAATGAACTCCATGAAGACCTATTTATAGGAGAGTATTTGGGCGGGAAACAGCCCACTTGCGTGACGCGACCGCTTCAAACTCCGAGGTGACCATTGCGGTCGCAGGGGCCAGCAGAAGTCAACACGTGGCGCGAGGGAATGACAGCTGGCCGGTCAGTTTGGCGGCGGACGGTTGGACTTCTTCATCCCGTCCCTTTTTTCCCGGGCGGTCAAAAAGGCCCGGGCTGGGGGGCTCTTGGTAGGGAATACCCCGTCCGATACGCCTTCGTCTTTTATTCTTGTTTATGCAGGTTGCAGGTCAGACTTTCTTAGAAGAACCCAGTCGGTTCCCGACCGGGCACCGCCCGACTGATATCCTCGAATCCCGATCGATAGCCCTTAGGCGAGAGAGCCGAGAAGAAACACGTGGCAGCACTACGCATTGACAGGCAGGGCTCCCGGGAGGAGGACACGTGGTTGCTACGTGGGTGGCATGCCGAACGGCCGGACTTGTGTCTCCAGCCCAGCGGCTACAAATACCCGCAGTTGCAACAGTGTGGAGGACTTTTGGACGATCGATAGGCTATTATCGGAGCATCCCGACTGCAGTCAGTCGGCCCTCGGAATAGCCATTGTAGATTGTATTTAGGTCCTTCCCCGTTCAATAAAAGATTTTACTTGCTTTGATTGGGCTTGTGTTCTTTATTTACCGCTTACGTGGGAATTAACACTATCATATATATATATATATATATATATATATATATATATATATATATATATATATATATATATATATATATATATATATATATATATATATATATATATATATATATATATAACTCTTTTCCTTTGACAATTCTTTTATTTATTTATTAATTTATTAATTTATTAATTTGAGTATTCTTTTATTTATTTATTAACTATATATTTATATTTCAATTTGTGTGTGGTTTGTGTACTTAAGGTGAGTGGTTTGTGTTCTTAAGGTATTTTTTTGTGTGTGCTTAAGATACATGGTTTGTGTACTTAAGGTGCGCCATTTTAATGTTTAAGATACGTCAACTGCAAAACCGCATGGGAAGCCTGTACCACCACCTGAACCCTTCCATATATATATATATATATATATATATATATATATATATATATATATATATATATATATATATATAATGTAATAATAACATATTATAAATTGGACAGTACGAGGCAATTTTAAGTAGGTTAGTTGTAAAGTGATTGTTAGACCGTGGCTTGGGGATCCAAGTCTAGCATCCTGATATCGCCATGTGGTATTAATTGCTACACAAGTATAAGGAAATAATGTTGTGCTTTTGTTATTAAATATAAAGTTTGGCATAGTAACAAACGTTTGATCCTAACACTAATTAAAAGAAAAATGCACTAGTAGACAAGATTGCCAAACAAGCATTTCAACATGAGAGAGGACTAAAGTGTCAGTGGACCACTAGGAGATGTTTGAATATCCTTATAGAATAAGAGTTTGGCGCTCTCCACCATGACAGTAACGTTTAATTTGGAGGAGAAGATTGTTTCATTGTTTGTAGTGCATAAATAGCTCTTAATAGAAATGGGAACAAAGGACCAAAACTATCTATTTTCCCATAATGAAATTCTGAAATTTAGATTAGATTGATATATAACGACCAAGATTTTGTTTTTATTGACTGAAAACTAGCCTCAAATGCATTCGCAATCAAAGAACTATTTCCTAGATTAGGGACTAAAAAGTAATAAAGTGATATGACCCTATAAATAGGATTGTATTGGATAGTGGATACGGTTCCTTTCGAGCATGTACACGCTCCAACTGTTCACATTTTGAACATTTTAAGATTACCAAGACTAACTATGAAACTACACTTTGAGTATGAGCTAATAACATTACATATATAATTTTTGGTGCATCCGAGGGGCATTACGACCCACCTCCGATCCTCTTTCAAGAAAGTAGCTAGGGAGTCAATATCCCAAGTTTTATCGTCAAGGATGAAGTCCTCCATGGTTGCTTGGCCCTCCCTCCTAGAATGTCAATATAGGGTATAACGTAACCGCCCCCCCCCCCCCTCCACCAACTGTTTGTCCCCAACCCACCAATCTGACCAAAGGTTGAGTGCCCTCTTCCCTGGCCTATGAGTAGTCCCCTTAGCCTAGCTCCCGTGATGGTGCAGCAAAAATGTTGTGACTTTGAAAGGTTTATTTTAAGCTCCGATCTATTATATTTTAAAACCCCTCCATGCACTGCATGATAATCTCAATCTGTCTCTCTATTTCCTCCCAAAATGCATAAAGATCATTCACAAAGAACAAGTGGGATATCCTATTTCCCCCTAGAGATGTGGATTGGGTTCCAACTAACATTGTTAGCCCTGTGTTGAATATTTCCTACATGTCTTCGTTAGCTTCATATTGTGCCTGTTTCAGAGTGTCCTCTGCCGATTTCCATCTGTTGTTGAAAACCACCTCATTTCTCATCTTCCAGATATTCCATAACAAGTGGGGGAAGATAAGATGCCATTTTTCTCCTGCAGTACCACTTCTGTCAGTCGTGCAAGCCTGCTCCATCCAACGTAGAAGGGGGAGGTGATAGCTGACGGAGAAATTAGGGGGTGGAGCGGTGAGGTTCCAGCAGCTTTTTGACATGTTACATTGTCTGAAAAGGTGATCCAAGGATTCCTCGCCATGGCCACATCTCGGGCAGGTATCGTCGTCTGTCATTCCCCGCCTCTTTCGCTCAGTGTTCACCAGGAGGCCATTTTTGGAGATTTTCCAGATGAAAAACTTAATCTTCTCCTTGCATTTGAGCCGCCAAATCCAGTCGTGGGTGGGAGTGTCATCACCTGTACTTGTAATGAAAGAAAAAACCGAACTTACTGTGGCCAACCCCGTCCCTGAGTGTGGCCAAAAGAGTCTGTCGTTCTGGTCATCAGCAATTGGGATGGGAATTGCCCGAATACGCTTAACCACCTTAGTCGGAACAAGGTATTCAAGAATTCTTTCATTCCAGGAGTTACCGTTGTTCATGATGTCATTCACCCGTAGATTGCGGCTGTCCGCCGGTAGGGGGTCGATGATCATGTCCGCGAGGGATTTGTCTCCGACCCAATGATCATGCCAGAAACTGATGGACGATCCTGTACCTACTCTCCACCGGATGCCTTCATTAAGGATGTTCCTTCCGTTTAGGATGCTACGCCAACCCCAAGAGCAATTGTTGACGTTAGCGATGGACATGAAGTCTCCATCTTTCACATATTTATCTCGCATGACCATAACCCAAAGTTTGTTAGGATTAGTCAAGACTTGCCATGGCAACATAGTCAGGAAAGCAAGGTTGAAATCTTTGGCCTTTCTGAAACCAAGACCCCCTTCATCTCTCGGCGTGCATATCTCATCCCAACCCACCGTGTGGATCTTCTTTGTATAATCCGTGTGCCCCCAGAGGAAATTCCTGCAAATCCTATCAATATCGTTACAAGTGCTTACCAGAAGCACCATGGATTGCATGGTGTAGGTTGGAATCGTAGCCAGAGAGGATTGGACTAGTATCCTTCTTCCTGCCATGCTGAGAGCGCTTGCTTTCCAGGTAGAGAGTTTCCTTCTCATTTTGTCGAGGACAGAGTTGAAGGTGTCTTTGGAAACCTGTTTCTGGTGCCTAGGGATACCCAAGTAGTTGCCAAGGTGGGTCGTCACGGGGATTCCCATCTTTTTGCCAATGTTTTTCTTCAAACCTGTATGAGTGTTTGGAGAGCAGAAAATCTTAAGACTGTATCTGATCTTCCACCCAGATTTCCGACACTAGAGGTTTGTTCAGGTCTACTTCCACCGCAACTCTAGCGTATCTTCCTTTAACAACCGCGGTTGTCGTCTGATCCAATCCCAAAGGTTTGCCCACATCCTCGAGAACGCTTTTGATGATGTCATCTCTGAAGTATTCCACGGAGAGACGTGGAAACCGAACCCAAACTGCCATTTTGGAGAACTTCGCTTTGGCCGGATCAAATTTCGGCTGCCATCTTTGCGTCACTAGGTAGTTGTCGAATATTTTCCACGGGCCATCGAGGAGAATATGTAGGTAGTCGGTTTTGTTATTGAATCTGGCTATGAAACAGCCATACCCAAGGTCAATCAACTCCACTCTCCCTTGACTAATTATTGTGGCATAATTATTTTTGGTACTCCATCAATAAAATTATTGAAAAACCGTTAAATACAAGGACATATATTTTTTTTACAAAGTAGGTTGAGTCGCTATATTTCTTATGTTTATTTTTTGAAAACAAATCGTAATTAAAGACCAAAATGTCATTGTATTTAACAAAATCTATGTTGATAGAGCACCAAAAATGGTCATGCCATTAATACTAGGACCAAAAGTAAATGTTTTGAAAAAAAAAAAAAAAGATTAAAAGTAAAATACTGCCTATAACCAGGACTATGTGGTCTAATGGTACCCGGGTTGGACTTCCATTTGGAAGGTTGTGAGTTTGAGCCTCAGTGGAGGCGTTATTGGTTCTTTGTGTTTCAGTAGGTTGAGAAAGTATATGAACAAATACTACAATGTAATAGAACCAGTAGCATTCAAAAAAAAACTACTGCCTATAAATCTAAAATGAAATTAACTCTAGATTTTGTTGCGAATTTTGGTGTTTGACGACTGAAAATTGGATCAGGTCAATAACGACCAAGAATTATTTTTGAAAAAATAAGTTTGAGCCCCAAACTTAATGACACTTCATTGCTCATTTCCTGAAAATTGACGTAAATTGTGAAATGGGACTCAATTAATTTACAAATCCTCAAAATTTATACATTAATATTCACAACAAAGTTAATTCATACCTCATTTCTTTATACCTCATTTCTTTAATTCTTTCCGGGCAGAAGACAACCCTATAATTAGTGGTTCCTCCAGGGCAAGTGAAAGTGTTGGTGGCATCATCCTTAGGGTAACTATAAGCATCAGGACACAATCCCTTGAAAAACATTGAATAATCAGTGGGACCACAGGTTCCACTGGTGCAGCAATATTCCTGTCCTCCAAAGGTGGTGCAAGGGTTATTACATCCTACAGGATGCCTGAGAAGGCCGGGGCATTGGCCGACGATATCCGCCGTGCATGAGATTGAATGGCATTTGCCGGCGTCGGGTTTGGTGGGGGCAAATCTCATGGGGATGTTGAAGTCGTCGACGTTGGAGATGTCGAAGAAGTCGAGGTTATTGTTGAATTGGTTTAGGGCGAACTCCACCAAGGTGTTGGGCGGCTTGCCCAACCCGGTGCACTGCAACACCCCGCCGCAGTCACCCGTCTCGCATGTGTTGGGAAAAATACGGTCAAAGCTGAAGCCCTTTTCCTTGTAATTTCATGGGTGCTAATGGTTGCTATCCACACAATTTGTATGAACGTGGAATGAGGAAACAAAGTCAAGGTCTAAGTTTCCTACTTTTACGTGAATGCATGGCTGTGTTTAGAGCTCAATGAGTATAAAAGATGTGTCCTTTAGTATTCATAAAGCACTCAAAAAGGAAGTTTCATTTTTTGGCTTTTCTTCACTTCGTGCACACCCTCTAGTCTGAGCATATATATAGTCAAGTTCGCCTACGTGGTTGCTAATGCAAGCTATCCGTAGTAGGTCTGTGTAGCATGTCGAAAGCGTGCCAGGGTTCTAACTACACCGCTACCGGGCAAATAACGCTTTTAAGGTAGTGTTATTATAACACGGCACAGATTTCCCTTCTACCATACACCCGTTGTGTCTGTGCTTCTTAAAAGGTTTCCCGCCCGTGCGTTGACGTTGCGAATATTCTCCAACAGTGAAAAGCGTTATTTTAGCAACAGTCAACTACTCGCATCATGAAGCAGATTATAATAATTTTCTGGCGACATGATGGTGTAGCAACAACAGAGATTAGCAGTGGAAGGCAGAAGCTTCATAAAGAACAATACTGGTGAAGCACACTGTTTCGGCTTATGTGTAACCTTTAAGCAAGGGAGTACAACAAAAATAATTATTGGGTTCATATCGGAACTTTGACCATACTCCGATGAGGTTTGTCTTCTCATATTTTAATATGACACATGCATATTTATATGATAATAGACTATCATATGCAAATGATTATTTTGAGCACAAGTAGTCATATATTATTGGGCATTGACCATATTCCCTTAAAATTATCATAATGGCATAATTAAGAAGATGGATTTCCTATATCTTTGCATCCATTCGATTATTATGTTTTGAGAGCATTTGAAACGTGAAATATATATATTGTGACAAGCATTTTGGAAATCATGCTTTTATATTTTATATGGTGAGTGCTTTGAATATTATAGAGAAAATTAACAACGGTGTACACAAGGATAAGTTAATTGTTATTATTCACATGAATCAGATTTATGATTTTGTTGTGTCAGAAGTGTTGATTTAACACTACTGGTAAGTGATTAAATCATCAATCTGACTTAAAGCTTATAAATTGTGTACTTATGCACATATCGAATTTATAACATTATGTGTTATATTGTGGATATGTTACAAACTTTGCTCTATTTGATGAGATACATATATGCTTTACAGTCACCTAATCTTAAATATCTAAATTGTGTACCGAGACTAAATTCCAAGGCTTACTCAAATTGTGGTGGTAGCATAGAAAAGTCATCCATCTTGAATACTCTGTCTAGGAAGATGGTTTTTAAGTAAACTTCGGTTTCACCACTCGACCTGGGAGTTTTTAAGAAGTAGGGTGTTGATCATGCAGGCTAGTTAGAGCGCCACTTGATCTTTACCTGAAATGAGGTTGACTTTCATATGTTGTTGAACAATCAAAGCCTTGCAATAGAAATTGTTGAAGTACTGCAATAGTAATATTGTTCTGCATTATGTGAATGCTTTATATGAGTCTCAATCTCCTCAAGTGAAGGAAGAGTTGTGCAGGTGGCAACTTTGAGTGTTAAAATTATACTTGTTGAATTCACCTTGTTGAGAGATATTTCCTAATAAATGTTAGTTTGAACATATCCTTTGCATATGAGATTAATTTCTTGTAAAAATATGATGTGAAATTTGTGATTATGTTGTCCAAATTGAAGTAGCATACAGACAACATTATATCTATGGCTTACTAACAATGAGCATTTGTATATATATTATTTAAATTTTTGGTTGAGTCATCTTGAACGACCTCTAATTCCTGTTTAAAAGGGTAATTATGATGGATTGAGATAATCAATTTTGTTGAAATATATTCAACTATTGAGTATGTATCAGGCAAAGTGTGAAGCTACTATAATGCTCCACAAAGCAAATCGGCAAAACTCAGTCTACAAAGGAGCTAATGTTGGGCACCAAAGAGCAGTCTGGGTAAGAGATCAAAAACATTTGACAAAAATATTTGTAAGTGTTGCATTGTGGGGGGTGATTAACACCTTATATTTTCACCAAAAGTTTCTCTGTGGTATTGAGAATAATGATGAAAGAGAATGTTTCATTTTAAGCATGAAAATCTCAAGGGATTATTTACGAGTAAACGAAGTACTCGTCAAAGTGCATGTAAGTTTGATCAAGAGAATCAACTTACTTGAAGGCTAATTATGAGGATTAGTCGTTGAATCATTGGAAGGACTTAAAGTCCAAGTGGTAATGAATTCGTGGTCGGTCCCACTTTTGTGGCCAAACGAAGCCATGAAAAGAATTACAAAGTAGTACACTAATTGGTCATTCCTACAATGTGTGTACTTGTGAGGTTGGGCTACAGCTCTTAATGAATTCATAACTCTTTGAGAAGGGTGGTTTTTATTGAGACAAACCTAATGAATTCACCGCATAATGACTTGAGTACAAAAGTGCTCTTAGTGACTTATGCTCAATTGTGGTGGTCTATTTTGAGGTAGACCTAACAAGATCCCTGACTTGAGTGAAAAGGGGTTAACTGCCTCTTATGAAAGATAATGGGGGTATGCCAATAAGCTGAATGGCTAAGAAATATGTTGATAAACGTGGAGTTGTGGGGGTGTCTAGCTAACACCTTCACTACATATACATTGTGATTCACGAACTGTCGTTTGCATTGCCAAAGACAGTGTCGTCTATGATAGAAAGAAAAGACTTACAACTGATTTATGTCTTTAACTATTCTATAAGCCTTAATGGTTGTCTATACTGAGATATACCTGATAGAGTTAAAAGTCTGTATTGAGATGGACTTGACAAGACGTAAAAATCTATAATTCTGTAAGACCTGTTAGAGTTACAAGTCTATGTTGAGATAGACTTTGACAGGGTAGAAGTCTATATTAAGATAGGCATAACAGACTTGAATACTAAGAGTATTCAAAAGAAGTCAAAGAGTTTGACTTTCTTAGAACCTGCCTCATAGAGTTGGTGTGTGCATTAGAGTTCAAAATTTATCTAACCGGTGAGTTCAAGATTCATATCACTCTCGAAAAGAAAATTACTCAATGTCACTACCTGTCAGTTCAAGTTCTCAAACACTGACATTAAGATCAACTCGTTGTATTGCTCAGACACTATCCTTTCTAGCCTTCTACTTTGAACGTGTGGGGGATTGTTGGGAAAAATACGATCAAAGCTTAAGCCCTTTTCCTTGTCCTAATTTCATGGGTGCTAATGGTTGCTATCCACACAATTTGTGTGAACATGGAATGACGAAACAAAGTCAAGGTCTAAGTTTCCTACTCTTACGTGAATGCATGGCTATGTTTAGAGCTCAATGAGTATAAAAGATGTGTCCTTCAGTATTCATAAAGCACTCAAAAAGGAAGTTTCCTTTTTTGGCTTTTCTGCACTTCGTGCATACCCTCTAGTTTGAGCATATATATAGTCAGATTCGCCTACGTGGTTGCTAATGCAAGCTATCCGTAGTAGGTCTGTGTAGCCTGTCGAAAGCGTGACAGGGTTCTAACTGCACCATTACCAGACAAATAACGCTTTTAAGGTAGTGTTATTATAACACGACACAAATTTCCCTTCTACCATACATCCGTTGTGTCTGTGCTTCTTAAAAGGTTTCCCGCCCGCGCGTTGACGTTGCGAATATTCTCCAACAGCATGTACCCTCTCCTCTACTATCAAAGTTGCAGTTTCTACGACCCCAAATACGTCCCATTTTTGTGCCGCGTGGCACGTCGAAGTTCCAGCTTTGGCCATTTTTGAGCCGTTGGCCACCGCCAATTGGGGTTGCGGCCGCCCAAACGGTGTAGGAGCAGTTGTTATAAACTTCAAAGTTGACGGCGGAGCTAGATGTGAAGAGGCTGAGAAGGAGGAGCAGTGGAAGAGTGGTGAGGCAATCCATATTTCATATTTGTAATTAAATGAAATATAATGCTTTAAGTCTGAATAAAGTTTTTACGCTTCAAAAAAAAAATGAAATATAATGCTTTAATTTGAATTGGTGCGTCATCAATGAGAAAGCGTGTTATGTTGACTATTCAGCGTGTAGCCGTGTAGTAGGGGTAAGAACAATCATCACCTTGAATTATTTGTAACCTTGTAATCATCTTATTGACATCACCAAATGATACGTAATAGATTTTAGACTATTCAGCGTGTAGTAGGGGTAAGAACAATCATCACCTCTTCTTCTTTTTTTTTTTTTTTTTTTTTTTTTTTGTAGATTTATAAATGTGTCTACTTTTAGTCTTTTTTTTTTTGGTATAGTATTATTGTGACAGGATCATTTTTAATTCTCCATCAACAAAATCATTGAAATGTTGTTAAATACAAGGATATTTTAATTTTTTTTTATACAAAGTAGGTTGACCTGCTATATTTTTTATGTTTATTTTCTGAAAAAAATTCATAATTAAAGACCAAAATGTGATTCTATTTAACTAAATTTAAATTATTTTATTCATAAAGGACTAAAAATGGTCATGCTACAATAATACTAGGACCAAAAGTGAATGTTCTGGAAAAAAAAAAAGACTACCACCTATAAATTTAAGACCAAAAATGAATTAACTCTAGATTTTATTGCAAAATTTTGGTGTTTGACTGGAAAATTGGATCATATCAATAACGACCAAGAATTTTTATTTTTTTTTTAAAAAAAAAAGTTTTAAACTCCAAACTTAAGACCAAGTGGTTTATGGTCTACTGGTATCGGATTGCTCCCCTATGTGGGAGGTCTAGGTTTCGAGCCTTGTTGTAGGCGTAGTTTGTATGGGTGTCCCCTTCCTTGTAATAAAAAAAAAAAAAAACTCCAAACTTAAGGACTCTTCATTATTCATATCTTGAAAGCTGATAGAAAAAATAAATTGTGAAATGACTCAACTACAAATCTTCAAAATTTGTGTATTAATATTCACAACAAAGTTAAATTCATACCTCATTTTATTAATCCTTAGTAAAATTTGAACCATGCGCCACGCGTTAACAATCAAGACTTTGTTTCCATTGACAGAACAAATATTCTCAAATTTTGCTGTGGACTGTAAGTAAAGTTTCTTTCTTTATAAGTTGTTTTTTTTCCCAAGTTGTTTTAATTCTTATTTAAAAGATAAATATTCAAATTTCTCGGTGAGTAATACATAGGAATGATAATGGGCGCGCGAGAAATGAATAAATCCACCATTCAGCTCAATTATATACTCCGTACTTGTTAGCAATATTTTTTTTTTTTTGCAATAGTACTTGTTAGCAATATAATTATGCATGTGTAATAGATTTGGATGATACTAAGCAAAACCATATAGATACTTTAATTTAGCACCCCTTAAATTAAATTGTAATCTTCTACTCATTGAACATTTTGTAAAGATCAATGTTTAGAACTCAAACATTTTGTTAATTCAAGCCTACATAAAAACAACTGTTAATACCTAATTTAGTTATTGACATTATATAATAATTTTTCTTGATTTAGTCCTAAACTACTTTTTGTGCTTAATTAGATTTTCGATTTTGTTGATTTTGCTCAATTGAGTCATAGGCTGTTAAAATATATAATCAATGACTAAATCAAGAAAAAACCACTATAGTCGATGACTAATAAATTGGATAAAATCACTAAATTGGATAAATCAAGAAAAAACCACTATAGTCGATGACTAAATAAATTGGACCAAGCCTGGGTCTAGGTTAGCGCTGATCAGGACCGGCCCATGATAGCCTTCCCCGGGTTAGGCACAGAATTATTTTATTTATTTTTATATAAAATATTTATTAATTTTTTTTTTTTTGTTTGAAATGAAATTTCAACAATTGACCTCATGATTAAGTAATTAGCAACTATATATATATATATATATATATATATATATATATATATATATATATATATATATATATATATATATATATATATATATATATAGGGACGCACTCAGGTGCGAATAAGTGCCCAGGAAGGAAATGCGAACGAATCAGCGCGCGACACGTGTCCAGATCTAATAACTTAAAAAAAATGCGGTGGCATTTTTGTAAATAATTGAACATCGAAGTGCAAGTAAAATCTCTTATAAGTGCACCTATTTTCACCTATAAGGCTATAAGTGCATGTAATTTTGCCTTGTTAGCATTCACTTTCCGCAATCATTCATGCACCTGGGTGTGCTTATAACTATATGTGCAACTATTTATAACTATAGGTGCAACTACTTATAACTATAGGTGCACCTACTTTCACCTATAAGTGCATGTAATTTTGCCTTGTTAACATTCATTGATCTGAGTTCAGCGAGTAGTAATACTCCTGAAAACCACTCGCAAACATTCATACACCTAGATGCAACTACTTATACCTATGTGTGCAACTACTTAGAACTATAGGTGCAACTACTTAGAACTATAATTGCAACTAAGTATTGATGCTCAGTGTAAATTTTTACTTGCACCTATAACACATTTTACATGCACTTGTAATACATTTTACTTGCACTTCGATGTTCAATTATTTACAAAAATGCCACCGCGTTTTTTAAAAAAATCAGTGTTTCTCATCCATTAGATCTGGACACGTGAACGAACAGAATCCATTCCTATTTCGCGCCTGGGCGAGCCGTTCGCACCCGAGTGCAAGTCTATATATATATATATATATATATATATATATATATATATATATATATATACACACGCACACACTAACCCGTACTTTTTCAAAGTAAATATTTTTGTTTAAAATAATATTTTAACTATTAATCTTAAAATAAAAAATTAATATGATTCTTTACAAAATTAAAAATTTATAAGAATTTAATAACATTTGAACTTGTACTATTAAATTTTTTTATAAGACTTGTAATATTATTTAATTTGATAACTTATAAATATTATATTATAAAGTGTATTATAATTTATAAAGTCCATGTTATATTTTGGCCGGGCCTAGACAGGCCGGTTAGGCGGTTAGGGACCTGAGCTTGGGTCTAGGCCGATTTCGAGCTAGGCTCCGGGCTATTTTGTTATAAGACCTAAACCGGCCCTCTATAAGTCGGTTCAGGATTGGGCTAAGCTCATCTTAGGCCCAATGAACCCCAGACCCATTTTTTTTTTAGCCGATTCAAGGCTGGTTCGACCTTGAATCGGCCCGTGACCACGCCTATAGTAGTCGAGGACTAAATTGGATATTAATAGAGGTGAACATACCAATCTATCTTAATAGAGAAATCAATTGGGTAAAGCCATCAAAGTCAATGACCAAATTAAGCACAGAAGTCTTTTAGGACTAATCGAGAAAAGCCAATATAGTTGAGGAATAAATGGGGTATTAACTCTAAAAACAAAAAAACAAACACAATTGCTAAAATCACCAAACTTACAAGCAATAGATCAGCAATAGAGGCATAAACAGTAGTCATGCCAACCAATTGCAAAAGCAATAACGACTAACAGAATTTTTGCTCCACTAAAAGAATCACACTTGTATAAGACCGTTCGTTTCATGAATCCTTATCCGTGAGGGTAGGTCAATATGCAAATGTAATATTTATACTAACAAATGTAATACTAAATCAGGTATAAAATGTTTGTTACTTATAAGGGAAAACATAATACTTTTGATGACAAATGTAATACTTTTATATTTCGATGTAAAAATATTACCTTTTTCATCAAAAGTAGTATATATTTCCTTAGAAGAAATGTTGCACTTATAAAGGAAAATATAATATTTGGTGAAAAATGTAAAACTTTTAAGTATTACATTTTTTCTCAAAAGTATTAAATTTCCCATTGTGAACACAAAAAATTGAATAAAATATATTAATATTCAAAATTCTGGTTACATCAAGTATCAATGTGGTGAGTGTACAAGTTTCTGGATGGTCCTCTGATTCTTCAATTGGATGGGCAATTTATATCCTACACCACGGCGCGCGTTGCACTATGCGCCCAGATGCAAAACGACGTCGTTTTAATTATTTTTTTTTTGAAATTTCCCGCCCCAGTGAATGGCAGTAGTTTTTTCTTTAAAAAAAACCCGTTGTTCAAGAATGTACATAATGTTATACTAGAATACACATAATGTTATACATGAATGTACATAATTATATAACAAAATATACATACTCTTTTTAAAAGATAATACACATAATCTAACATAATACATAATAAACATAAACTTTTAACATAATACACATCAACTCTTAACATAATATACACAAATTTTCTGATTCGGATGTACATAATTGTATAAAAAAAAATGTACATAGTTGTATAAAAAATACACATAACTGTATGAACCAATACACATAACGTTGTGAACAAATACACATAACGTTGTGAACAAATACACATAATCTCAGCAACTTTCTACCGCGCCTCCCAATACTACCCCAAAACGACGTCGTTTTGGGAGGCGCGCGGCGCACAGTGCTATGTGCGCCGTGGTGTAGGATATAACGATTGAATTGGATGCCTTGAACACTATACTACTAAAGGGCCTTTGGAATTCAAGTGGCTTTGTAATTTTACATTTCCTCATTTTTAATCAAATTAACTGGATTAACCAACTGATGAAATGGACTGACTGATTCAACGATGAATTCAGTCAATAAGGCAGATCATTGAGATGATTATAGAAAGAAATAACGGCACAAAGCAACACACAAGATGTTTACCCAGTTCGATACAATGTGTATCTACGTCTGGGGGACGATCACATAGGCGTCCAATCCACTAAATCATAATCCAATGTACAAAGGTAGAGAAACAATAATCTCACCCAAGTGCTCCACACAAGGTACGTACCCAGTCTACACAGGTTTAGTGGATTGTTGAAGATGGAGAGCCATGCATACAGAAGTCCAATGAAATCCCTTAACTTGGAGAGCCAACTCTGTTGCAGTCCACTTCAATGACGCTCTTCTCGGTTGTTCCCACAACTGTGTGATCGTAGTGTCCTTTCGTTTAAGCAACAATAATTCTTCTCAAGTTCTTCATCATAATCACCATGAACATGTTGTATTGAGAAGAG